TGATGACACTAAACTCATCGGTAAAATATTGGACTTGGCCACCAAAGCATCGCTACAAGAAGACCTCTTCAATGTCATTGCCTGGGCTCGAAGAAACAATATGCAGCTCAATGAAGCCAAATTTGAGATCCTCAATTATACGCTCAATAATTCTCTTCTGCTACGAAATCTGCCATTTACAAATGATCTGCTCAGTTACACTCTTACAACAGGTCAAATAATTGAGCCAGCAGAAACTGCCAGGGACTTGGGGGTGATTTTATCAAACGACTGCTCTTGGACTCCCCACATCCAGAAAATGATCCAATCAGCAAGCACTATGTCATCCTGGGTTCTTAGCGTCTTCAAAGATAGATCACAATTTCTCATGCTTACCCTCTTCAAAACCATGGTGCGGAGTAAGCTAGAATATTGCTGCTCTGTCTGGAATCCAGCCAAGACCATGGACATAGAGGCTATAGAAAACGTTCAACGACAATTTACCCGACGCATTAACGGATGCAGTGGTTTAGACTACTGGGAACGTCTCACGAAACTCAATATCATATCATTGCAGAGACGTCGAGAAAGGTACATCTTGATCCACACATGGAAAATTCTCAATGGCCTGGCCCCAAATGATATTGGCATGCTGTTCAAAAACAACCCCAGACATGGAATAAAAGCTACTGTACCAGCACTGAACAACAAATCACAGCGTTCTGTGGCAACTCACTATGAAAACTCGTTTGGAGTGAAAGCGGCACAGCTGTGGAATCTTCTCCCCAAAGAAATTAATTCCATCTCTACTTTGGACCTGTTAAAATCGTCACTGGCTAAATTCCTTAAAGAATTCCCCGACACACCTCCGACTAAAGGATACACCGCTACTAACAACAACTCACTCTTGGAATGGTACTTACAAAAAGACCCCTGTGGAGTGATAGGAGGACGTACTTGATACTGTTGTCCTGAAGCGATCCCAGCCAAACCTACTCAAAGTACTCAAAGTAAGTACATACTTATTTGATATTCAGCCCCTTTTACACACACGAAATTGAAAATTGTCAGCAGATGCCATTGCCAGCCAAACGAGCTTTTGCACTGTTGTTTTGGTATTGGGATGCTAGTCCTGTGTATAATGAGTTAGGAGAAAACATTATTGTGAATAGAAAATTGTAGAAACATTGTTTTAACTAAAATTGTATCAAATGGTATAGCAGTGCTGTTTGCCAAACTGGTCTCCACTCTGGTCTCGGTTATACAATCTCTGATAAACTATTCCTGTTTAATCCTGTATAATATCCTCATAGTAATTTGGTTATATTACATGTACATGTGTAACTGTATCGGGCGCGGGTAAGCTTTGTTGCTAACAGACTGCAGACGTGTTAAAGGGCACATATTTATAATTATTATAATAATATAGTCTCGATAGTATTGCTAAAATAAAGAGTATCTGGAGAGTGTATCTATATAAAATTGTAGGAAACAATAGTTGAGCAGGAATAGTGTACCTGTTGTCCCTGCTCCAGGGGGTCTCAGGCAAGTGTTTGGGAGTAAGTACATAGCTCAAAGCTTTATAAGCACAAAGCTTTACAGAAGAAGACAAATCTTCTTCTGTGTAATGGTTTAGTGTCAGCAAGGTTCGACCGGGATCCCGGCTTAATCCCGGTCCCGGTCAAAAATCTGCCGAGACCAGGAATCCCGGTCCCAGCTAAAATTCCGAATTTTGACCGGGACCGAACTGGGATTGTTTTCTAAATAAAAAAAATTGTTGGCTAATTTTGTTAAATTATCGAACAAATTTTTGCACAAATGAACGATTTAAAAAAACTGAAATTTTAAGCAAAATTCTTTACCAATTAATCAACAGAACATTGCCAGAGTTAAGTGCCACGTTGTTGGGTGAGGCAACAAATAATTTGTAAAATATTCCTGCGCAGTAAATGGTGCCTCAAATATCCAAATCTTAACTGCACGGCCGGATTGTCTTTGTCCCCAAAGTAAAATAATATACATAACAAACCTTTTAGTAATGCTCGATGCGGTTGATTGACCGCACTTAACTTTGCTTAGAACTGTACCATGTTGATGTATCATATAAAGAATTTGTAATAAACCACCTGCATAAAGGACCCGAATATTGAATTAGAATCAGAGGTAGAACTAGAAGTAAAACTAGAGGTAGAACTAGAAGTAGAACTAGAGGTAGAACTAGAGGTAGAACTAGAGGTATTATTAGAGGTAGAACTAGAGGTATTATTAGAGGTAGAACTAGAGGTAGAATTAGAGGTAGAATTAGATATAGAACTCACAAAAGATCATGTTACCTGCTGCTTTTACTCATACAAATCACAGAACGATTCGTAACAAGAACAACTTACAATTACAAAGCTGGGGTGTAGGAATGATTTTCTTCATGAGGAGGCCAAAATCTTAGAGTTTTTCAAATTCAGCACGCGCTTTGGCCACAGCCTGAATTTCAAAAGCAACAAAATTTGTAAAAGGCCTAGCTGAGCAATTTGGCAATAGAGATCATTTCTAAACTGAAACACAGTTTCAAGAACGATTAAAATAATACAATGTTAAATGCATATTAGGGCCTGCAAACAGGTAATAAGGTAATGTAAATTTGGACTACAAGGGGCAAACTGTGTCCTGCTAATTTAAGTAATCAGTAATGTTATCTGAATTGTATAATCGCTAGGCTTCTGAACTTCTGATGAATCCTGACATGTAATATCGCGGAGTATAAATTATTAGGTTGACCATGCCAGCTAACAGCTGGATTGTATTCTGCTAACTTACTTGAAGATACTGAACACCGTACAAAAGAGTAACTTGCAATGTCATCTGAATTTTATAAATCGGCAACTATCGTGAAGTTGGACTGCAGTTAGACAGGATAGGCCAAATGAGGCCAAAAAGTTCAATACTACCGATATCTTATTGAAAAACAAAAAAAGGGTGAATCATGGCAAATGAGTAACTTGTTAAGTTGGATCATAATCCTTCAATTAACAGATTGGAGTCGTGTCACTTAACACTTTGTCTTTAGGCTTGAATGTGGACAATGATTGGGAATCGGGTGTTATCACTTTGGAGCTTTTGTGATTGTCAAGTTAGTCGCTATTATGGAGATACAAACAATGTGCTGGAATCTTACAATTACTTACATTGTACAGTTAAAAAGTTGTGAAGTGATAAACTGTAAAACGTCTCTATACCAGGTCTCTCGCGGTATAAAGCGTTTCATATACCGCATTAGGGCCATATATATACACGTATTGTGTCGTATTGTGATTGAATACAGCTCGATATGTACTTACATCACCCACCAAATGCGATATGAACTATGATAAATCACATTTCTTGCACAACTCGGTTTGATTGTTGAGGAAAAGAAGAGGTCTGGTAATCCAGGTAGGCCGGTTTAGATTAGCACGATTGACAGTACAGAGAGGTTTTAATTATTACAAATGTGATTATCTTAACCCCACTGAAGTGACTGATTCATCATTAAAATCAATAAAATGATAGTAGAGCAGGCTATCGGTTCGATCTTGACTGTGTTTTTGGTGCAGTTTCTGTGAAAATCGATAAGGCTATGAAACTCTAATATCGTTTGGTTAACGTTTTTCAGTTTCAGACCTTTCCACTAAGTAATTCCTGATTACCAAAATCTGTCGAGATATACTGAACTCCAACTACAAATATTGGTGATTTTAGTATTCTTGAAACGAAAAATTCATGGAGTTTTTTAAAAATAAAATAAAAAGCATTTTTCTCCACGTTTTGATCACTTTTGGCAAAAAAAGTCTCGAAAAACAATGTCATTGAAAAATTTTCAAAGTTATTCTAAAAACTACTTTTCTCCGTGTTTTAAGCTATTCCGATCATTTTGAGCCAATACAAACACTTTTTGCTAATTAGCTAATTGATAATTATCCGATTAACTAATTGTCTGACGTAAAAATTGTCTTTACAAACGTTTTTCCTCCTGATAAGATGAACACCCTCGATTAATCCGCAACCTTTTACGATGTTCACAACTAAAGATATTCGACAAACAAGAAAGGTGGGACTCAAAAACGTTACAAATCCTTCGGAAGCTTTTTAATCTGTCGGTAGATCGAATATTTTTAGACGTATCTACCAGGTCAAAATATGATTTTAAATGACAAAGTTGACAATCATTCAACATTTTAATATGCAAAAATACACAATAAATAATACATATAAACGAGAATGAGCATCAGATAGTTCATCAGCAAATATAATGTAGCCAATAAGAAGACTCAAGCCACTCCCTATTATTGTAAAAATGGGAAACTATCGTAGTTTATTGTTTGTCTCATTGAAATTGATATTCCCAGCATTTGAGCATCATCATGTGTGGGTTACCTTACCCAAGATACTAAGATATGCAGGGGATACTGGATAATGTGTTACACCAACCCATGTTCTATTGTCTGTACTTTATGCGACATTATCTGTGATTATTATTATCATCGGGAATGTAATACTCACCATATTATCACCATATGAAATACATAAAACAAAATAAAAGTTACACAAGGAATTGGCATTTGGTGGATTTAGAAATAAATAGTAAAAGACATGAATTTCTTGGAATCTATTTTATCTGCCTAGTTAGTGGTTATTCAAGCAGACCCATATTCCATATGTGATATCATCAATCGATAAATTAAGCGACCTCAAAAAATGGATCGGGAAGGCTATTGAAAAGTGACATCTATGATAAATATTATATGAGGATTCTCTCAAGATAATGAGTGAATGTACATTTCTTTAATAGATTTTACCAAAACCCATAATTGGGTAGAGTGGACCGTTGCCATTGTCTCCCTTTGGCCTTTCCCAAAAAGGAAATGATATCAATTTGAATAACCGTTTTCAAATGCAAAACGATACCGAGAATGAAATCGGTTGCTCGCTTTTCCTATTTCATCCTTGAAGGGCCCTAAAATAGGCCAGAATTGACGTAAAATTTTCAGTTTCATGCACGGCTGGAGACTACATGACATACAGTGGATGTCAGAAGTGCGGAGAGAACGCATACAGTGGCGCTGGTGCCTTGTCTTGTACTAGTTGTCCAGATGGAGAACGTTCCCCTGCCGGATCTACTTCAGTGTATGACTGCTACTTCCGTAAGACTAAACTCAAGTTGAAATCCTTGATCATAACGTAAAGGGAAAATTTTGCATTCTTTAATACTTCACCTCTGATTATTGAAATGGTACCATCTTTTTTGGAGCCAAAATGGAACTCTCAATGAACTATTTTGGCTATGTATAGAAATGTAATTTTTCAGCTCCTTGCTCGGCTGGAAGCTACAAGACAAACAACAGATGCGAGGAATGCATGGAGAATACGTACAGTGGTCCTGGAGCCTTTTCTTGTATTGGATGTCCTGATGGAATGATTTCAGCCGCTGGATCTACTTCCAAGGATGCTTGTTATTCTGGTAAGTAGTTGGTAGGAATACGTTCCTTAAAGCTGAACCATGTATCCAAACGCAAAATGATACCGAGAATGAAATCTGCCAGTTGCTTTTCCAATTCATTCACGGCCTGCAAACTGTAAGTGTAACGAATTCAGTTAGTTCTCTAATTGTAACGCATCGTAAGTGCCCATGACTGCTTCCTATCATCAATTGTGAACGAATGAGAAAAGCTTATCCACTCTCCCCAATATTGGTTTTTGGGTTCATAAAATATTTAAAGCTAACGCTCGTGTTTGCCAGTACTATGATTAACAATGAACAAAACTTATCCAGATAAAATTGATCAAAAGTACTCCTTTAAAACGATCTCGCCTGGTAACCTTCCCCGTATTGGATTGCTCATGGCAACAAGTCTAGAGAAAGAAGAATGGAAGTTAGTTTGCCGGACAGGTATGGGGAGGTCTGAGGTGGATGCTTTGTGTAGAAGTATGGGGTACAAGACTGGCACTCTCATTGATGTTTATGTCAAGGAGTTCTACGATATTTCTGCAGAAACAAAGTGAGAACCATCAGAGATAATATTGAGAAACATACTATTACTGTATTCAAGGTATATTTGCTAAACAAGAACTTAAAACAGCAACCAAAAATGTACGTCTAACGAAACACACATCACAGGTACGGTGTGTCCAACATGAAATGTCCCGACGGAGCCTCATCACCATCAGACTGCAGCTTTACCCCTTACAGTTCCGCTTCAGTGCCTTGTATAGGAGGGGAAGTGGCTTCAGTCTCTTGTTCCAATGAGCCTTTCCAGTTAACAGTGACTGATTTTATGGCCAGGGTCCATAGAAGGGGCAACGCATTCTTTAGATGCTCAGGCTCTGCGACTAGGTATGAATGGTTTCTTCAGTTGAAAACTCTGTTCACCGTTTATTGGTAATGTCTACTGCAGGCTATGTGTCATAGAGGATCTATGTGAGTGCGAGCGCGAGGTATTTTAGGTGTTCCATTGCAATAATGAGCACCATGAACAATGTATATTCAATATCCGTTCAGAAAAAGTTTGGTTGAATGAACCCTGTTTAAATTCATCTCTTTTAGATTCGGAATGACGCTCGACTTAGGCAACAGTGCACTGGCCGTGGCCCTCAACAGGAAGAACGATGGTGAAATTAGTGTTTTAGCTGACAAACTTTACTATAAGGGGTCGAGACGAGGGTAAGTTGTTGTTGATATCAGTCCGTTTGAATCTGTAACATTTTGCTACTTTTGATTTTCAATTTTCACATCTTAAGTTTTCGTATTGGCTTACATTTTTTATTTTATATGCATTGCCACACTTTTAGAATGGTTTATGGACAAAATTATTTTCCAATAATGTTAAATTATTTCGTTAGTTGCCACTTCACTTTCAGGTACTGGTCAGTGAGAAAATACATCAAGCCCCTTTCCTCGATAGACAGATGCTACATATGCCTGCTTCTAATGGATGGCACGGATCATATGGACATAGCATTGTCGGGCGATTGCAAACTGGGCAAGCAGCAGATTTTAAGTGAAATTAAGGACTTAATGGGCAGAAATGTTTTAAAGATTGGTTAGTTTTGTGTCTATTTCAGCTGTTGTTAATGCGTCTCACATTGATATGATTTCATCCAAATGGGATAGAAATCACGTGGAATATTTGACTTCATAATGACCGCCAGATGGACGAGGCGGCACCATTCAATCTATCAAAACCTACATTTTTATACAAAACAATCGTTTAAAACATTCCATTCTAATTGATGTATAATAAACATTGTATCAGACATATAAGTTTGACTACTCTCAGGTTATACGCAAATACACAAAGACACACAATTCAGAAGAGTAGAAACATATAATATAAATAAATAATAAGTTATATGTGATACCCGCACCATGTGGTAACCATGCGGTAACCATAGTAACTATGTGATAGTCAATCACGTGGTTACCGTCTATAGTTAAAGTAAATTAAATTGATTAGCACTGATTAAAAGTTCCACCTCTTCAATTTCACATGATTAAAACATGGTTACCATGGTTACTAGATGGTAACTATGGCTATCACATGGTTGTCATGGCGATCAAATAGTAACTATCACTTTCATAATATGGTAACCATGCACTATCATTGATGATATGACCAAATGATCGCATACTATATAATCAAACGACAAAAGTTATTTTGAATAAGTAGTAAGATGGTTTTATTTCGTTGAACCTCAATGTCTGTAGAATGTAAACTTTAAATATTAATTGTTCACTGTTATGAAATATACAAGCCTGACCCTAATCTAAAGAAAGTTTTGTAAAATAGAATAACTTCAGATTTCGAATTTTTATTTTTTTCAATGATATACAATTTTATTTTTAGAAAACGTTGTAGTGTTTTGTTTCGACAGTGAAAGTAACAGACCAGAGACAGTGTGTTATTTAATCAAATTATAAAATACCAGCCACGGACAGAGGCAACTTATAGCTATAAAGTATAAGTGCGGTGGAAGCTGTATCGCACCATTGACGCTATCACCGCACTTTTTTTGCACAATCTGCTGTTATTCGTTTTATCAGATTTGTGTACTTTAACTTGGTATCGCTGTGTACAATGAAATAAGATCGGCATGCCCTGTGCCCATAAATATGATTAAAAACATACACAGAAAGTTCATTATTATTATTATCAGATAGCAAGTCTGCAAGTTGCATAAATTACCAATTTAATAATGCGTTTTAATATTAATATTTTAATATGTAATTATACTATCGATATTTAATGAAAAACAAAAGATGGCGATTCTTGGCAAATAAACATCTAAATAAGCTTATCAAGCTGGATCGTAATCCAACAGATTGAGATTGAGTCACTTAATAATATAATTTTAATCATGTTAGTCGCTTATCAATATCACTTATACATCTTATAGTAGATGTGGATTGGGACATTTGTTTACTTTAATAGTAATAGTAATACCTGTCAAGGACAAAAAAATCGCGATTATTTTGGCCAAAAATCGCGGCGCCGCGACAAGCCAAACTAAGCAAAATCGCAGCGAAAGATAATGTATTTGCAGAACTATAAAGTTAAATGTCATATATTCGTTAAACTAACCAGCATTAGTTTAGCTAGATTAGGGAGCGATAAGCAAAACAATAATTATATAACTAAGCTATTACATCCAGGTAGACGTGGATCGATAAAACGGAGTACTACAGAGACTTGAAGTCGTCTATTCTCGATCAGCGTGCCTTAAGGAATCTCTAATACAAAGCCGAACCGCATGGAGAACGGCACTTATTCTCTTATTGCACAAGAGAAGTGAGAACGGCACCTTGTTTTCATGTTTAGCTTGTAGTAGCTATTGTATAAGTTGCTGGGGTGGAATCAAAATCCCAAAACAAAGGCACTTAAGGCAGTCAGTTATAAGTTATTGCCAGATCTCTCTGGCTTTGTAGATTTGTATACATTGTTTGTACATTTTCTGTACAACGTGTACGATGCCTTTGTCGCTACAGAATGAACACTTGGATATGGTAGATGATGCTATGGTTGTGAATGGCCAGTTCCTTACGGAGTATGTGAATCAGATACACATGGCAACTAACAGTATTTTCAAGGAGATTAGAAGTAAAATCGGTGCCGAACACAACGATGATGTGCAATTTGACAAACTGAACCAGAGAAATGTGTCTAGAGAGAGGTTATCAGAATGGCTAGAGACAGTGTGCTGTTTGCTGAACGATTATTGTGGTCCATTGTTACAATCTGCCACAGAAACAGCTGACGACAACAGGGTGTTCATTAAAGAAAAAATAGAAGATGCGACTAAGATCATAGAACTACAAGAGAAGTTACTCTCTAAGCAAGAAGAAGATATGGCAAAAATCAGTGATCTGCAGGAGAAGTTAGCTTTGAAGAAGGATGACGAGATTGGAACTGTGAAAAGTGCAGCTCAGAAAGAGATTAAGACCTTTTTGTCTCTGTTGAAAAACACGTGCAAAACGCCTTTGCACCGAAGAAAATCCAAGCTGCAGTGAAAAGGGTTGCCCTAGAAGACGATCGAAGTAAAAGTCTGATTATCTTTGGGATTCCAGAGACTGAGGAAAACCTGGATGCTAAGGTATCTGGTATTTTGTTGGACCATCTCAACGAAAAACCAAAAATTTTGAGATGTAATAGAGTTGGAAAGGACACAAGTGAACGAGTCAGACCAGTTAAATTCACTTTGTCAAGCTCAGATCAAGCTCGTACCATCTTGAGCAAGACTAAGTTATTAAGACATGTAGAGGGGTTTAGTTCTGTTTACATTACTCCTGATAGATCAGCTGCAGACAGAATAGCCTATAAGAATGTTGTCGTCCAGCTACTCAATAAAAGGACAGCAGAGCCGGACAAAGTTCACGTAATCAGGAACTTTAGAGTCATTAGCTCGGAGAAGGAGCCTTGAGAGTTTTATTTCAGATACACATGGCAACTACGTCTTTTCAACGGTGATTAGAAGTAATAATCGTGCCGAACACAATCGATGATGTGCATTTGACAAATGAACTTAGAAATGTGTCTAGAGAGAGGTTAATCAAGAATGGTAGAGACAGTGTCTGTTCGCTGATCGATTATGTGTCCATTGTTACAATCTGCCACAGAAACAGCTACGACAACAGGTGTTCAAGAATAATAGATTGCGAATAATATCATAGAATCAAGAGATGTTACTCTTAAGAAGAAAGTTTGGCAAAATCAGGAATCTGCAGAGAATTTATTTATGAAGGATGACGAGATTGGAAAGGAAATGCAGCGTCATAAAGATTTACAATTTCTCTCTGTTGAAAAACCTGCAAACGCCTTTGCATCGAGAACATCCAAGCTTGCGTGAAGGGTTTGCCTTGAAGCAGATCGAAGTAAAATCTCGATTAATTTGGATCCAATGGGGTTAAACCTGGAAAATGCTAAGGTATTTCTATAAGTACAATATTATATGTTTTTGATTCATTGATTAATTAATTGTTGCTAGGGCCCAATGTTATTGCGGGTGTGGTATTACTGCACACTACCGTGTTTTGGTTACCCCTCTTTCAATACATAATTTGGGTTTCGATATTCTGGGATAGTGAAAATTAGGGCTATATCGGTTTTTTCCTTTTATAACTGGGTTTATTTAGAAGCATTCAATTCTGTATAATTATGTATTGTTTGAAAAGTTTTAGATTTAAAAAAATAAAAAAATTAGAATATATATTCGCATATGATTATATCCACACTATTTACACTACACGTACAACAGGCAGTCAGATTGCAGAATAAAATTGGTGCAATTGCAAAGCGATGTATAAGACTGCTATTCGGTAACATCCCTGATTTTGATCATAGAGAATACTACTTAAAATGTGCATATTATGGCTAGCATGAACTACTGTCTTGAACACACTAAACCACTGTTGACTGTTTCTGAGCAGAAAAATATGAATCCGGAGAATCTGCATATATATTATACATTTATACTACTATTACTAGGTACGGACTTTAGTAAAGTAAACCGAAAAAAATGTGTTAGGCTCATAATGATCAGGGTAGCATGAATCATGGAAAACAATTGGTTTTCAGGAATCCACTTTCACTGGAATTTCTTTACCCACTCGTCTGCTGACGTAACATTGTTAGCCAAAAAATGTCCCTAAAACTTGACCGCTAGACATAAAGTTGACCACTTGACATAAACTTGAGTCTTGACCACTAGACATATAAAACTTGACCACTAGACATAATATAAATTTGACCTCTTATAAAGATGAGGAAATAAAATAATATGTGCTAGGCATCAGATCATAAGGTTAGTTGGGGGTTAATTTGTCAAGTGACATCAAGTCATGAAATTTGGAACCATGAGAACATTGATCAATTGTTAAATCAGGTAATCTATATTATAACTTTATAACAAACCTTAGCGAACTCAATAGGTACAACAGCTCATGAGGGTATAAGGAAATATTTCTACGAAGACAAGATGGTGTTAGTGTAACTTATTGTTTCCATAGGTAAGCTAATGATCTTAGAATTGATTAAATAACAATAAGAACATGCTACTCATGAGTCAGCCTACTGTCTGGTAACTAGAAAATAAGTTTGTTAAGTTCTTGAGAGGTTAAGTTTGTAAAGAAGGCGAGGAGCAAGAGTGCCCCGGGTAACAACGGGATCCCGTACACAGTGTATAAGAGATGTCCTGGTATTGCCAAGAATTTCTGGGACCTGTAAAGAACTGGATATAAGTTAGAAGAATATCCAGACAACTGTAGGTATTTCGAGGGTGTCTACATCCCAAAGGCTGATGGCGACTTCTCGCCCAGTTCAGGACGCCCTATTTCCCTAGGTAACATTCAAGGGAATATCTATTTGGCGATCCTGGCGAAGAGGATTTGTAGTCTCGAATAGATATTTAGACCACCACCCTTATACATACGGGTGGTGTACCAGGCGTCCGTGGGTACACGGAGCATTTTGGTGCCATGTGGGAGGTATTGAAGGAGGCAAAGGTCAAGAAGAAGGATTTGAGTGTAATATGGCTTGACCTGGCTAACGCTTACGGAGTGGTTCCCATGTTCTGATTGCCAGGGCCCTCCCTTTCAACACTATCCTACAATACATCTCCGGGGTATTCGGAAGGTTCTCCTCAAGAACGGTGACTGGCAGCAGTTTGAGATAGGAATCTTCGTGGGATATGTGATGTCAGTCATCTTGTTTGTCTTGTGCATGAACCTTGGACATGAACATCTAAAGTTAAAGGTTCCGAGGAGCATTGAGTACATCAAGGATGGCACACCGATACCAACTCTGAAGCTGTTTATGGACGATAGCTGCCTGACCACTGCACGTGCAGAGGACATGCAAACGTTACTCAATATGTTTCAGAAGTAAGTGGTCCAGATTTAAGTTAAAGTCCTCCAAGTCCAGAGCACTGGTATTGAAGAAGGGAGTGGCTGTGAGGTGGGTTGAGGAGCTAGCAGTAGGAGAGTAGGAGGTGGAGAGAGAAGAGATGTGTTTACAGTTGGGTGGTGAGGTGATTCCTAATGTGTCAGAGAAGCCGATAAAGTTCCATGGGAGGTGGATAAGAGTGGAAGGAAATGACAAGTCAGTCATTGACTCAACCAAGGTCGACCTTAACACTTTTCTTCGGAGACTCGATGAAAGTTCCCTAACTGGACTCCAGAAGTGCTGGGGATATCAGTACATGGTCCTTCCAAAATTGAAGTGGCCTCCTGCCATCTATGATATTCCGATCACAACATTTACCAGATGGGAGGAGAATACCAATAGTTTCCTCAGAAAGTGGTTAGGGGTCGGGCACACTCTGAGTGGTCTTTGTCTGTTCAGACTTCAGTCAATCAT